ACGAGACTGGTGCATGAATCACGGAAACCAGCCTACAATGCTGTTGAACCACATTCTCAAGAATCGTGTACCGCCAGAACCCCCCAGAGTCGAGCGACCGGCTCCTCAGCAGATACCGGATGGCTGGATCCCGCAAACTGCAAGATCGGTTCCAATGCCGAGTGGCACCGACGGCAGCACCAGCCGACCCTCAGACACCACCTACACCGCCAAAGGCTACGCACTGCCATCGTGCCGCAGGTCCCCACAGCGACAGAGGAACAGAGACCTCACCCGAGGTGGAAATCAGCCCGACGGGCTGAGGCGCAGGAGGATCCAGACCGTCTTATGGGACAGCTCTGGAACGCGAGGGCAAGCTGACCATCCGGAGGTGATTGAAACGACCACAGGCAGGGGACCAGGCGTTCCACCACCTCCACCTCCGGCCGGCTCCTACTGCAGACACCTCACAAGGTGTGCAACCTCCACAGGACGAGCCATGATAATTCTTTCAAAGGAGATGACGACGACCAAGAAAGAAGGAGACGAAACGGAACAGTCCGAAGAAAAAACTTCTTCCTCGGAAGAACTCATGGTCGAAGTCAAGACTCGTGGTGCTCAGTCGTCAATTGACGCTACTGTTGCTCCTGCTTCTCACCAGAACAAGGGAAAAGAGAAACAAAACAAAAAGGAACAGTCTGAGAAGACTCCCTCCGAAGATCTCGCAGCTGGGAAACAAAAGAGCCTTCCTCAGACGAAGAAGACATATGGGCTACCGAATTTTCACCAACCGTCGACAGGCTAGTCGCCAATCTCCAAAATGCTGATTTTGACATCGGTGATGACCATACTGTCCGGATTCCAATTCGTCGCTTTATGTCGCTTTACTCATATTCTGGCACAAGTCAGATCGGCACAGTCCTCCCTCAGGAGGCAGGGAGGGGACCATGCAGCAAAGGTCAATAGACACAGAGATACCCTCGCAAGAATAACCATTGTGCTTACTAGCCTCACATCAGCTCACTACACCATTAATCAGGCAATGACGCGAGGATCAGAAATTCAGAAATCGAGCGAAGGTGTGCTACCCTTCTAAAGATGTTCGAACAAATGTTCCAGGACGTCTCAAGTGAGGATGATGTTTCACCCACAGGTGATGAAGCTGAAGGACAGCCTAGGAAGAATCTTCCTTCCAACGAAAGCCGGGACAGAATCCAGGCTGAAGCACCTTCACCGTCTCAAGATGCATACTGGGATGCCAGATACGCATACTTGCAATCTCCCGCAAGAGATGAGGCTGAGACGTCGTGGCCATCCTCAAATGGAAGACGCAATCACCGCAACCAAAGAGCGAGCGAACCAAAGGCAGAACTAAGGGCAAAGACTACCAGCTCACAAGCTGTGCCTAAAGGTGTACCCAGACACCTAACGGACGAAGATCCAGATTTTCGTCGTGCCGATGACATGTTGTTGGTAATCTTCGATTCCGACTACGAAGAAAACTGTTGTGACCCGGATGAAGCGCAACCGGATGTGATTGCTGCATCTTTCGTCCGACACTTCAACAAGCGGACTGAAAAGCCAGTTCTCGCAAGAACACAAGGCATACTGCATTAATTCATGTTGCACTCCTAGCGTATGATCATGTATAGTAGATCTTTTTGAGGACAGCTCACCGCAGCCAAAAGCAAAAGGTGTGCAGAACACCACGCCCTCAAGGTGTGAGAGGGCACCTTGCTTTGACGTGTTCTACTATGTAGACTATGTATATCTGAATGTTTTCCTGAACCCGTACTTCGTACCATACTTGATGACACAAAAGATTATCCGTGCAAGTGTGCCGGTGCTTTCAGTAAAAGAAAACTAGAGTCTGTTCGGAACATAAACTCCTGTAAGCCCTCAGGCGGTAGGCGGTATGATAGGTACTTACAGCAATGGCACGGTGGCATACTCACATGTATATATTCCGCTGCCCATTTATGTCTCAAGTGGTTCAAGACACCATAGCCCTCTCTGCGATGCAATGACAACAGCCTGCTGTCCGTGCAAGGGCAACTCATTAGGTCTAAGGGCCTACACTGAACCCACATCCTCCCATTGGAGAGCGGGGTGCCTATCTGGGGGCCAGGGTGGGGGGGGTGTTTTTGATCGATAAGTCAATTCTTTTGCGTCTAGGCCGGCGGTCCCGGCATGTCACGGCCCTCTGCTTCCGCAGAGAGAAACGAAAGCCTAGCTATTCTAGCTTTCGTGATGACGGTTCGAGAGAGTTTGAGACACAAAACTCAGCAGTTTTCGGCTTCACGTGTCTGTGACTCTCAGCACTCAGCCTCTCCTACCCGAAGAGGCATTGCACAAGTGAGAGAAAGCCAGAGAGACCGAGTCAGCGAAGCGTGCACCCGGCCTCGCTCTGTGCTAGGCCGTGGGAATCAGTGGGCATGCGCCCTTTCGGGACTCAGGCCGCACCTTCATGCGCCCTTGGTCTTCACGCGGTGCAGATCGCTGATGGCATTCACGTTCACGCGATCCCACTCCTAGGGAAAGTCAGACAAGTCTGAGTATCAAAGCAGCGCAGGGCGCTGCAGTGTCCGGTTCGGGGCCTGGCCTGGGCCAGTTGGGAGAGCTGTCCCGGTTGTTCACCCAAGTAAGCAAAGAGCTCAGTGATGAAATCATCCGCCTCGGATGAGACTCTTCGCTCCGAGATCTCCCGAGCTTGCCCATGGGGGGCCCATCTCGATGAGGCGTGCACCGACTCGTCTGCATCCTCCACTTCATACGGCTTCTTGAGCCGACGGAATCGTCGAATAATCCTACAGCCTACAGGCATGAGGTATGGTCATACGATCATACAGTAGCGATTATCACCTTTCCTTTTCTTGCCAGTCCCGCCTGGAATTACCACCGCGATGCTGAGCAGGAGGACGACGACTCCGATCAATACCAAAGCTGGTATGCCGCCGATGGTCCCGTCCCCCTGTCGGTCCGTGCAGGATTATGTGTGTTTCCTTTCATCTTTTCCAGATCTGAAGCAAAACGCGCATCTGCCTGGACGATAAATTTGGAAGGGTCGGGCTGCACAAACTCCTTTGGCTTGGCGATTCGTGTCACCAGCTCTTGAACAAACTGGTGTTCGCCGACAGCAGCCGCATGTATCACGGGGCTCCTTGGATGTGTGCTCTGGGAGACTTGGACGGGAGTAGTAACATGGTGGGTTAGCTGTTCTTTCCTCAGGACGTCGGTTGGAAAGTCAAACACGAGTGTAGACAGCAAACAGAGTACCTGTGAATTGAAGACTTGGCACCATCCAGACCTGTCCATTGCCCAGACGTCGGCAGACAGATCCAACAGCCGCATAGCGGTCAGGGACCTATGGTTGACTTGGCCTACTGTACCTGGAGCTGCTTACTGAACACAAGATTTGCTGCCGAGGGCACTGGCTGAAAGTGCAAGCATAGTGCAAAGGCCGAAAGCCAATTGCATCCTCAAGCTCGAAGTCGGCACCTGCACTCTTCACATGTCTCACATATGCTACAATCTTCCACAAGGCGACGAGGCCTCGTGTGAGGAGGAGGAAGGAAACGTTGAAGAGCAGGTCAGAGCGTGCGGTGTGGTGCAGCGGCGTGTTGAGGTCGCCGTCTCGAGCATCCGGCCTCCAAAGATGTCAAGGGTTTGAACAAGTGTTGTCCATCTCTGCACCAAGTCCCGATCCGTGCTTTGGCACTCAGCAGCAGCTCCGTGACCTATGCGAACAAGAGCCCTCGCTGGTGGCTGCTTCTTGCTCTGCCACTTCGCTCTGCCTCTACGTGGCCGCTTCGGGCGGAGTGATGAAGGGGTGTGCGCTGGGTCGCATCCTCCAGCTCTAGGTAGGCCTGTGCCATTCAGGAGTCACTGGAAAACTTCAAGGTCTTCGACCAGTCTGCAGCATGCTGCGTGCCTGCGCCTCCAGCAACAACCCCGCAGTTGCGAGGTAGCCACCCTGACCAGCAAGTAAAACGAAACTTGGGCCGTGAGGACCCAGGACAAAGCTGCTTGCGAGCCGCTTGCTGCTGCTCGTGTCTGTCAGCTCTACTACACAGTCGTTCTGACTTGCATGCATGCCCTATGCCAGGCATATTTGCACTGTGTGACAGCTCTCGCACTTGTCGGCTTCGACTATTGCGTCTCAGATTTGCAGTTTTTGCCTCCCTATCCATAAGAAGAAGCCACAACTTCTCATGAAGAACAGCGAGGTTCGAGCGTTGCAGAGACCACCATCGAAAGCAACAGCTTAAGTGATGCCTGTGCCGCGAAGTGGAGCGGGGCACGGCCCATATTGTCGCCTGACCTCCCACGCAACGACGAATCCCCGATTCTGGTGTTTTCGATAGACTTCCGATTTGCTGCTTGTGTGTGTTCAATCATGTCCAAGAACCTGGCATGGTTGCACGAGCGTTCAGCAAGGCCTGCGCAGCCAAGACCTGGACCAATAGCCCCTTTACAATTTGTTTGTTCTTGAAAGTCCAGCCGCCTGACCGTTGCCAGCAGCTAGGTGTAGGGGCGTCTCCCCGTTTACACCCTGGCCTGGGCTGTTCATTGCATCAGGCACTCACGTTTCCAGCATCTTGCAGTCAGGCGACACGAAGGAAGCTCCGACTCCAGGCCTCCAAACCCACACGACGGCCTGTCTCCTTTCTCAACGAAACGGCATTTGCAGTCTGCATCAGATGCCGAGAGACTCAAGGAGAGCTGTGCAAGGTCTCCCGCCCTGGGGCAGAAAGAGTCAAGGCAAAGAAGCCGTGTATGGCGATTCTCGCATCCAAGCGAGCGCCCCAACCTCGCAGAGGCCAGGATCGCCTGGCTACATCGATCGGCGAGCGCGGCGAGCACCGGGAAGGGGAAGGCCAGCTGGGCCAGGGCCTCTTTGCATCTGCTCTTGCTGCGATTGGATTGCGCACCCATCAGCAGCGCTCCCACCCGCTTCAATTCCCCGCCTGCACAACGCAGCGCTTCATGGCCAGTGCGCCCGATGCAGTTTCCGATGTCTTTCAACGCGGGCTTCGGGATGTGAGGCTTAGAAGTTGGGGGACGGTTTGAAGATTCCCTGGTGTAGTTGCAGAGGCAACTCGGATGCGACGAGGCATTGGCAAATGCGATGTCACTTCGGCCAACAGCTGCAAAAACTGTGATTTTGGGTCACGAGCTCTTGCTTCTCGGATCCCGAGGCCACCCAGATTGACCGTCGGATCATCCAGCAACCCTCGAAAGTTGCTCAGTCCCGAGCGCCGAGTTGAGCTGTTGATAACAGCCGGGTACCTTCACATGACATCTGCGGGTCTGCGCGCTAGGAAACTGCTTGAGGCCCTGGCGAGAAGGTGGTGGGCCCTGGTGCAGAACAGCTGCCCATGACCCTGGAAAGTGCAAGCTTCAGCTCGTGTGATCCAAAAGGTTACATTGACGAAGTCAGCATGGTCTTCGGGCTCGGCGATACGAGTATTTCGCTCAAGAAGCCAAGGCCGTAACGTGAAATCGGGGTTTGGAGAATTGTAGAACTCCTGGCACGAGACGGTAGACTCTTCGGGACCAAGCGAAGACGTCTTGGAGCATCGAAGCTGGTGTGCCTCGCATTCATCCACGGCCGTGATCTCGTAGTTGTTGCTCCCTGTTCACAAAACGGGTGTAGTCTTAGGTCTGCGCCTCTAGGAGTCCAATGCTAGGGCAGCCTATGGCAGCCTACACTGCTTGCCTCGACACTGCACTCCTCATGGCAAGCAACGCGCGCACACGCAATGCCTTGATTGTCATCGGCATCGAAGAACTTGATGACAAGGTCTTCGGGTGTCTGCACACGGTCAGACATGGACTTCAAAAGCTGAACTAGACAAATCCTGTCTGCCGTGTTTGAGACTCCTCTAAGGGCCCCCTCCGCGCTCTATATGAGCCAGGCTGCTATCTATGAAGCATGTCCCACCCTGAAGACTCTCTGAGGGGTCAGCCATTGGATCACTGGTGACAGTGTCGACGAGCTCGAAATTCAACACCACTTCGGAATTGCGCCTTACGAAACCATACATGTATCGGTTGGCCAAGCCCGGATGTGCGCAGGTAATAAGGATGCCACTCGACGAAAATATTTCCGAAGCTCCCTTGCAGGCCGTTGAACTTCACGCCCTGCAGGCGTCAGTAGGCAGATTCGAGAAGGGCCACAGCGTCTCCTTGCATGTCACGGCTGGTCGGCCTGCCCCGCGTTGTAGTTGCCTTCCTCGTAAGCCGGATGCTACAAACAATAAATGGCAGTGGAAAGTTCGTTGGCCTCATCGACAGTGACTCTCAGGTCCACGGTCTGCGAGTTGTCCTCATGCAACATGACAAAAGGCTAAGCGATTCCGAAGAAAGACGGCCCTTCTTCCTGACCAGAAGCCCTGTGTCTACAGAGGCTCAAGACCGCTGCCGAAAATATTCCAACCTAAGTCGAGTTTCTGCTGCAGCGCCCTTGAAGCGAAGTTCCCTCTCGGCCTGGCGCAGAGGTAGATCCGTGACAGCAGTGGAGAGAAATGCATCGGCCGGCGGACCGCTGTATCATGATCGCTTGCTCCGTTGCTTGCTTGCACGACGGTGTGGGCTAAAGGGGGTAACCCCTCTAACCCTGCGCGCCAGCGCTCCGCCGAGTGTCCCAGTTCTGTCTGTGTCAAACAGTCTGGGGTCGTTGAGTTGAGCTGGAGCAGTTTTGTCCCCACGAACAGTGCACAATGCCCCATGATAACCTCTCTCTCTCTCTCTCTCTCTTCTTCACTTCATCGGCGCTGGATTGGGGTTTTAGGCCATTGGGCGGCAAGGTTGGTAGTGTATGGTTGTCGTCGAACCTCCCAGCAACCATGTACTTTATCCTGCATCCCGGCCTCGTCCCCGTGCCCTCTATGGCCTATCCTTAGTTCCTGCGACAACCACTCCCCCAACTTGTGCCTATTTGCTGAGTTACTGGAGTCAGGCCTTGTCAAAGCAACATTTCAATCAAACCAGGGTGCAAGACTGAGTGCTTAGCCTTTCCCCCGGTTTCGCTGTGCTTGTCAAGAGGCTCGGCTAGGGAATAAACAATAACACAAGCATGCACAAACACAACACAGAACTGAGTTTTTGCTCGAGCGCTCACCGTGCAAGTGCATTGGCAAGTACTTGATGCTTACCGGGGACACGGCCTAAGGCAGCAACACTCAACATCAAGACATGTGCGAACTAGGACTAGGACGGTGCCGAGTTGTTCTGCGGGTACTCGCGGGTCGGGGCTCCGGTTCGAAAGCCGGTGAATGAGGCCATCCTACGTTTTCAGTTCACACCGAATTTATTTCCAGTGCGCGAAATCGCGCGAAGGGCGTAGCAGACGCCACGTCCTTCTGGCTGTGCTGAAGAAGCTGGGTGGCACTGGGCGGGCCTGTCCTTAAGCCCAGCAGAAAAAAAAAGAGGCGTGTTGCTGCAAAAAGCAGGCTCAGAAGATGGAAGCCCGACAAAACCTTTGCCTTACAGGTACCGTACAGAAAACGTTGCCTTCTTAAGAAGTGACTTGTGTTGGGGGAGCAACCTGTGATGCAAAAACAAAGGGGCAGAGTGCCCTGGAACCAGTACATCGGCCTCGACGGCTAAGTGCTAAAAAGCATCCCTCATGCCAGCAGAGGCCCCCTATCTCTTAGCCTGAGGCCAGGGCCCTCGGCCCCTTCCCCGGCCAACCACCCAGCTCTCTCTCTCTCTCTCTCTTGCTTGCACTCGGCCAGAGGGCCTCGGCTCTCTCTCTCTGTCTCTCTCTCTCGTGCACACCAATAATGCAGGGAGTTTGCCTGGAAGTCGGGGCCTTTGCCGTCAAGGTTGTTTGCCGAGACACCCGCAAGGTTGAGGTAGAGGTGCGGGCCTTGCAAGGGCAAAGAGAGCTCTCCAAGCTCTGCCAGCACTGCCCCGGCTGCGGCTAAGCGGGCTGAGGTGCTTGCTGTCCCAGTTCACCAAGCTTCTGGAGATGCCATACCTCGCGAGCTCCGAGCCCTTGAGCCCCCGACTCTCTGCCAAGCGAAGCTGAGAATCGAGCGCGCAGGGATAGGCCTCCTCCATGGCGCCGCGACAGTATTGTCCCGACTTGGCATGCCACTCGGGCAAAACCGAGCCGACAACGGAACTCACGGCGCAACGAGGAAACGAACAACTCAGAGGGCCGAACTCCATAACCATGCTGCAGGACCGTACGGCTCCGTTTCTTGATTCCTTGTGGGAGAAGTCACGAGGGATGTCGAACTTCGGACTGCTATCTGTTCTCAGCAACCAGCCATGGCATGAGGCACTGCAGTCGGACCACATCGTCCACTCGGAGAGAATGCAATCCTGCAGGTCGGGATGCAAAAAGGGCTGCCGTCTTGCGCTCGTCCACCGGGTCCTGCGTATCCTTGCAGGGGATGCCCTTGTTGCAAGGTTCTTAGTGTCAGGGGACATCCAGTTCATTCCTGAAATAGTAGCAAGCAGCATGCACAGTCGATCACACTCGGTAAGAGGAGCTTCCAGGATCACAACTTAAGTGCAGCACCCTCTTCGTGGGAGTCGCCGTCTGGCATCCTCCCACATTCCGTGGCCTCGCGTCACAGCCGTCACTGGTCATCGTCACAGATCCGTGCCGCCACCACGTGCTCCTAGGAATCTACTTCTTCAAGTCCTACAGCCTGGAGTTCTTTTGTGCCAGTCAGCCTTCCGCAGCATGTGGCGACCTCTTGCACGCACGCCACCCTCACAGGAGGTAGAGCACGCCTGACGCAGAGTAGCTGTCGGTGAGAAGATCTGAGGAGGCTTGAAGAGACTGCATAATAATAGCGGAAAAGCAAAGGGTTAATACCCGCCGAGGCCACAGGCCCACGCGTCTTGGGGCCTAGCTCAGATACCTTCCACCTAATCCTCCTCCCAGCAGCCCGAAAGTTTCACCCAACCCGGTTTTTTGCGCTCACCCCTCGCCCAGCCCCATTTCATTTTACATACTTCTTCACCCCTTCCTTTTTCGGCCTCCCGCACCCCCAGCCGCCACTCCCTTCCCCCTGCCAGCGGCACGGTTGGCTGACAGAGCTTTGGAGCTTTTAAAGGCCCGGGTTTAAAGTTTAAACAAAAAGACGAGCTCCACAGCCGAGGCGGGCGGCGTAGCGTTAAAATTAACAGAAAGAAAGGGTAATAATGACGGTAAGCCTCGGGTAACATCAACGTGGATCTGTCATTAGTGCCGCACTGCAACTTCGGCTATTAGTACCGCTGTCTTGAGACTTGAAGGTTCGGAGGCGAAGAGTATGAGCTTTGAAAGAAACCTTTCATTATCGGTGCGAACCTCGCGTCGAGCCTCAGATACAGTCCGACCCAAGCTGCATCTCGCACGCTGGGCCTCCCAGTCCCTCCAGTCCGCCCAGAGTCCATCCACGCAAATCCTTAGCTGCCCGAGGCAAATGTCGGAAGTACCCTTCAAGCCTTCTGTGGATGTAGGTCACTTCCGCATCATGCATCGTCATGCGACCCGAGACCCGTCCGAGCTCCGCACTCACCTTCGGGGCATGGCTCGGTATTGCAAGGCTCCACCCAAGCCTGCAGCTACATCGGTGAACCGGATGGAGCTCCGGCAGATGATCACTCAGGAATCTTGAACCTTGCCTTGTCCAGCGGCTTGCACGGCTCGCATCCAGGAGACGGCCACCTGTTTCAGGGGGGGTGTTCAGAGCCGGTGCTGCAGCCAAACATGCAGGCGATGCGATGAAATGTTGCGTAATCGATGGCGTTGACCTCGGCTCGGCCCACTAGGCAGCTCTCCAGTTTTGAGTCGTCTGCTATGACGCTCTAGCACAGCTCGGGCCGCGGACCCCCGCCGCAATGCCGCGTGCACTCACTCCACTGCTTCCATTCTCCCCAGACCTGTCAGAGTCGTTGAGGCCATCCGTCACTGCACGAGAGCATGCTGTAACCAGACATAACAGGACCCTTCCAGGACACATGTGCACGGTGGAAAGCTTTCCAAGATTCTCACACAGGGGTCGCAGTTTCCACAATGGTCGAGGTGGCAAGGCTTGACCTGGCACAAAGGTGCTTGAGACAATCTCTGCTTTGTGCTTCCTCCCGCCCGCCTCGGTAAGGTTGCCGACGCAGCCCGTGCCGCAGTGGCTGAGCCTCCGGGAGCAAAACACATATCATGAAATGCTCTCTGGCAGCTAACCGCCGCTTGATAAACCCAAGCATGTTCGGGGTACGCAAAAGACTCCTTATGAAACGATTGATTATACCAAATCGGCCACATTGCTCAAAGACTTAGTAGCTCAAGGAAACTAAGACGGACAGTATCGGCAAGTGCTCATTAGCTTTTGCTGTCAAATAACACTCACCTACAGGCAGTTGAAAGTTGAAACTTCCGGAGGGCTTCTCGTACCAGTCACCGGCAACGAGTAAAAGACAACCAAGGCCGGCCAGCTTTCACGAACCTTCCGCCTCGACCTCCTAGTCAGGAATTAAGCACGGGACAGGACCTTGCAAAGTGCGAAGTGCAGCTCAAGCAACATCAGTTGTCCAACGATTGTCCAATTGCTCGCCCATCCGAACAGATTCCAGATTGTGCCAGCAACATGTTGACACATTGGCTTGTTGAGAAATTGCCTGTGAGTGACTCTCCGAGATCTCTCCTGGTCAGCCAGCTCAATCAGCACAACTGCGTCTGAAATGGCAACCGATGCCACGTTTCCTGATAGCCAGGCCCACAAGTGGCGCTGCATGGCGACCACCTGAGCCACTGCCCATTCACTGCCATTCGAAGGCTGTGCACCTACGAGAGCTGCCGGTCTGCTTTGACACGCCCTAAGTCCAGCTGAATGATGCGGCATGTGACCCCGAAACCCGACCTTCGTTGTCTGAGGCTGCCACACTGTCCAGATACTGACTTTGCAGTTGACCTCTTCATTTGAGCATGGCCTGAGGCAAGCATTCCCAGCGCGATCTCGTGAATGCATTGCAACATCATCGGAAAGCAGAGACTAGTCACATTGCCTTTTGCAGCCCTCACCCAGCTCGGGCCATAGCTCATGGTTGCACCCAGCTGTTTCGATCAAGCCAGGGTCACATGGCCTGAAGCACTCGACACTCTTTGTGCACACCCAAAGTGCTCAAAAGTCCCATTCAATCAAAGTCAGAAGTCAAACTGCAACACGTGTGATCCTCCTGGGGCTACAACTTGCCCCTGTGCTTTGGATTCACTTCAACCTGTTCAAATCAGCTGCTGCGCTTAACGAGACACACACGCACACAATGAGTGCACTGCTCTGGTGACCACACTCCACACAGACCTGGCGCTGTCGCTGCTTCTGACCTCCGTCGCAGGACTTGTCGCCTTGCTGCAGGAGCTTGTCCATCGTGATACAGCCACTTCAACACGGCACGTGTTACTTCATCGGCAACGGATTCAGGTCTACCTCGGTGCCTACGTGTGCCGCGGCGTGCCGTGAGGACCCCTGGACTTGTAATGTGCCTGAGGCGTCGACAACTATCCCACTCAGTCCAGGGGCTGAGGATGCAGTCCACCGCAACCGTGCAGGGCTTGATCTGAGAAGATGTCTGACTCCAGAATGCAGCGTCGAGAACTGTTGTCGAAACCTCCTTCAAGGTGCCGTTGCATGGCTTTCCGTCCTGCGCACGCGCCCTCACACAACACAGAGCGAAGTCAGGCGAAGTAAGGGCATGCCCGTACCGCAACAGCCAAGACTATACGTGTCCTTGGAGGGCTCTTCTGCGATTATGCGGTATCGCTCCTGCTTGGTCAAGATCACCAAGAATCTAAGATGACCGTCCTGTTTTGAGAATACTTTCTCATGAGGGAAACGAGGAAAGATGCGCCGCTGCCAAGGATTGCTCGGCAGGTGCTCTGTCCCGCTGGTCATGGGAGTCGCAATGGCTCCACCTGGCTAAGACATCGTGCGAAAAGCAAGATCGATCTATTCTAGAACATAGGCCCACAGACAGGAAGGGGGGATTCTACGAAACGAGCGCTCCAAGACTTGAAATTGCAGACCTCAGGCACTCTTTGAAAGAGGTAACTTTGTAGTCTTCGATGCAAAACTGGCAAGCAGCACTCACTCCAGGGTGAGAGCTCGCAGTCCCTCGCCGTGCTCTCTGTACCTGTCGAGCATCAAGCTACCTTCAGGGTTTAGTCGCAGGTAGATCTCGCGGTTTAAGTTTCCAGTTAACAGTCCATAAACTCGCACAGAAAAATCTGTTGTGGGCGTGTGCGGGTGTGTTTGTCTCCACCTACACAGCAAGTCGCTGCAGGTTCAACTCCAAAGTTCACAGCCAATCCTCAAATGAACCCGACGGTGGCAAAAGATCCCATCGCATACAAGCCTCCACAAGACAGCGAGCTCTGCAGGCTTAAGGCTTAACCCATTCCGGAGCCTAAATCAGGTCATTCGAAGGCCCCGGCAGGGCTCCCGATTGCAGGGGATCAGCTCTTCCAGGCTGCCCTTTGCGCGAAGCAGGGGACGTCAGTTACAACGCTTCGTCCTTCGGCGCCAGTGGAAACTACAGCTGCGAGTAGGGCTGAGTAGGGTTTTTCGTTGACAGAGCTGGAGGAATGGGAGGGAGCTCCCGGTAGCAGTCTGCCCACTCAAGATGCACATGCTGACGGGCTCCACTGACGCGGTGTTCACGGGACTTGCGAGGCCTCACAAGGTGTGCCGCCTCCTGCAGGTGGAACTTGGATCCCACGGCTCCTGGCTGAGATACACAATGATACACGCTTGCAATGCGCCGGTGCGCCACTGGATGCTGCTATGTCTACCAATGCAGGCTTTGCCTGTGCTTCAGCCCACCGTTGCAAATCGCGGTGCACCTCAAGTTCATCCGGTTGAAAAAGGTTCGATGCTCGAAGTAAGGCTCTTCGATTCTTCAACGCACGGGGCAGCCTTGAGCTGCCGTACTTTGAGCATGCTCTGGCTTGGACTTGCGGTGCGAGTAAGGGCATGGCTCTGTCCACTCGCGCCAGGTGCTAAACCTCGAGGTTCACACGAGAGCTGACCGCCAAAACTACAACTTCGAAGTGTAGACCTTTGGCCGAGAAGATTGCGTGCTTAGAGCCTCGCTTGCAGTCATTCTTTGCAGACAGCGCCAAGTAGTCTTCACAAGGCTCAATCTCCTGCAGACAGGAAAGCATGGAGGAGGCGAGTCGCTGTGCACGAACTCCTCCAAGGACAGCGGAGGTGCTGGATAGCTGGTGCCACAAGCTTTACCTCCATTCTGAGCCTCAGATCAAGTTTAGTGCCGCAGCTCATCGACGTCCAAAACCCCGAGGAGGACACTTGAGCGAGGATAGTCCGCTGCCGTAGCCGCTGATATCCGGTTTCCTGCAGCCGGCTGCTGTCACTCTGCAATCCATGAAGCATTCATCGGACGAGCAAGGCTGAAGTTGCAGCAGCAAGGTTAGAGCAGCCGAAAAATCCAGGCCTTCATGCAGAAACTCCAATCGTCCCAATCCGAGATGGTGCAATCAACTACCTCCGGGTGAGGAGCACGACTGGCATCTTCTCCGGAGTGGCTGTTGGCTCGGGGTGCACTATTCAGAGTTGTAGATTCGTCCGAGCTTCAGAGATCGCTGTTACATGGTGTCCACGAGTACGACAGGCACTTCCAGCAGGACAAGCCAACTGCAGCGAAATCAGGAAGCCAGGTTTAGCATTGCCTCCACACAAGGAGCTCGGGGGCAGAACTTCGTCTCCGTCTGAGCACCACCACCTTGCAAGCCAGGCAGATCCAGGCCCTGCCCTGTCAGGCCTCTGGCTTCTTCTGAAGAAGACTATATATACTTGGTTATTTGGCTTCGTCTTTGTGGGCACATCGAAATCAGCAATCTGACCGCCCAAGACGGTCCGCCCAGTGGGTGGTGACGAAACCACAGAAGCTTCTTCAACCAGTCATGGTAAGCTTCTGCGATCACGGCGATGTTCTCAAGAGCTCGCAGCTCCCAGTCGAGAACCCGCTCGGCGTCGTAGCATGCATCCACCGGCAGCTTGGTCGGCCGCCTCGTTGAATGCCCGCAATCGAGCCGCACTGTGTCCTTTCGGAGGCTTCCACTGCGGCTGTTTGCCGTGCGAAGGCGTCCAGATGAACTGAACCTGTTCTCCATCACGGTGCAACTGCTCCCACGGGGCCTTCACCTCAGCGAGCACCAGAGCCAGGTCAAACACTAGACTAAAGGCTTGAGAGGAGATGGCGCTAAGAGCCGATTGGCAGTCCACCACAATGTAGACTTGTTTGCACCGCCATCGCCTGAGCCACCGCCGTCACCAAAGCCTGGAGTACGTAGACAACAGCCGTAACCTCCAGTCGGTAAGGAGCCTCCAGGTCATCACCAAAAGCAAAGACGTTCGTCGGCTCCTGAATGGCAAACCCCATGGCCCCGACCTGGTCCTTGCTCGACCCATCCGTTGCGACGTAGATCTGGTCCACCTCAGAGTACGCCAGAAGGGCCTCGGACAACTCTTCCTCTGCAAAGAGCCTTTCAACGGCTCTGTCGCGCCGTGGCGTGATGTCCTGCCTAAAGCCGCACACCAAGTGGGGCCTGGAAGGTTTGAGCGCACCGCAGGCGCACTTGTGCCTGGCGTGGCCCGGCTCGAGTCACCCTCCAGCATTGAAGTGCCAGCTGACGCCCTAGATGCCATGGCCGCCAGCTGCAAACTCCTACGGCCAGCTGAGTTTGTGGCCCGCGAATTCTAGCCCTCTGGCACAATCGTCCTCGCACTGTTGTGGCCGCCCTGTGCACGCAGAGCTTGCGGTCTGGAGCCAGTAGACCACACCCTTGAAGGATTCACGGCCCGCCCAGCTTCGCCTCACCGTTTGGAGGTCGTGGCAGCACAGATTGTCCCGGCCAAGCAGGCTCCAGCCGCTGGAGAAACTTGAGGAAGCAAGTCGACCATGCCAATTTCGGACAGGGAAAGCTCCTCCATCCAGTCCTCGAAGCATGTCAACCTGCGCCACCAGGTGGGAAGCATGGGCAAGGTCGAGGCTGCACTGTGGCGGGTGGCCACGCACACCCCGCAGCCCACGGTCTTGACCAGGGAACGGGCCTTGTGGGTGCCAAGGTTCAGGCCTCGTGGAGCACGTAGACGAAGAATAGCACGTCAAAGGGAAAAAGCGTAGTGAAGGAACGGCAACTCGCAGGGTCTCGAGGGAGTGTCCGAACTGGTACTGCAACTCACGAGCTAGCCTGCACGCCTCCACGCACTCCGGAGCAGCAACAACAGCACTCTTAGTCAACGAGAGCTGGTGCATTTGCCATGGATGCCGTTGCGGGCTCCAAGAACGTAGCAACACCAAGCATGGGTGACCTCAGCCGAGATTATAACGGTGACAATGGCCAGCCTTGAGGTAAGCCTCGTCGGGGACTGCGCCAGGCAGTGCCGAGTGCACCGTCTAAGGAAAAGAGTCTCAATCCGCTCTCGCTAGCAAACTCGAAGAGAGCCATGATCTGGTCCGGGGCGCGAAGATTGATCAACACCTGGGCTGTCAGGTCGTGAGCCGGGGCATCGAAGTTCCCGGCAATGTCCTGCTGCACAGCACCAATGCACTGTCGACTGAGTTCACGCGTAACTTGCTGCCAGGCAGTGCCAACAGACGTGTACAGAAGTTCACCACAGTCAATAAGGCTCGCCTCCACGACAACTTCATGGTTCAAGACTTTTGCACCTGCTCTCCACAGCATGGGTAGCACAGTGATTGGCCTAGACTTGACGATGGCCTTCCTTAAAGAGACGGGCAGACAGCATAGCAGGTTTGCAGCCGCCCATCCATCTGGACCCGTGGCCTTGTTCTTCATCGTTGCCATCGCCGCACGGAGGTTGGTGGCATTGGTGTTGAAACCCGTGTCCTGGGGCGTCGGTCGCGGCACCTCTCTCAGACTGGCCTTGACGGCGTCAGGCGCCCCATGAGGCTTGGCGGCCCACTTTGACATCCTGGTCTCCTCCTGAATATCAACCTCCACCCCTATAGGTGGCGACCAGTCACGGGGATACCACCACACCACTGGCGCTTTCACGCTCCCTCTCCTGCATACGATCAGCGCGGCGCTTGATGTACGCCCGGGCCACACCTGGATCACTCCTGGCCTCTCTTTGCCAGACGCTCTTGCTCTTGTGTGGTGTAGGCAGTGACCAAACAACCTCCTGTCGCAGCTCTCGGCCCCGATCTCACGGATAAAAAGAAGCAAGAGCTCGCACACCACGAAGGGACCGGCCGATGCGACAGAGATCGGTCGTATATGGCCTTGTCAGCGTCGCATGCACGCGAGTATGCAACTTCAACAAAGCTCGCGAGCCTGCGGACCGTACCGGGCTCTTTCCAGTCTTGGGACAGCGAGGCTCCGACGGCAACCATGGGCTCGAACGCGGCACAGCTTGACTATCACTACACAGCACAAGAGGTCCTCAGCGACGTCAGACAGCAGAGTCCATGCGTATCGAGGTTGCCAGCATCGAAGGAGACCGTATCCCAGTGGCAGAGCCCTCAGCGATCCGGCCGGGATCCAGGGTGGCGTGAAGTAGTCGTCGCCTCGTGCCTCTTCGCAGCTTGGGTGCCGCGAGGTCGTAGGTGTACGAGACGGCCGCATGGTCACTGGGACCCTCAAAGTGAAACACGTCTTGAGCACGTAGCTGGGCTCCAGGGAATGTTGTGCTGCAAAGTCAATACGTCTGGGTCTGCGACCCTGGAAGCGGGGTCCCGTTATTGGCAGCTCCTCACCAGGGCGACATTCATGGCCAGCACAGATGTATCCCCAGGCCAAGTACTCGAGGAGCACTTGGTTCTGAAGCAAGAGGTTGAACGGTTGAAGTCACCGATCGATACCGATCGCCACAAACCTGAAGCCACGGTGGAATCCCTGCTGCAGCACGTCCTCGGCCTGACCCTCCGCCACGGCTTCGTCCTGAACCTGAAGATAAAGCCCGACGATCATGACCGGCTCAACCAAAGATGGGCTAGTCTGCACATCCAGGACAGCAGCCATGCAGCGGCCTACAGCCTCAGTTACCGACAGGACGGCAGGCCTCATCGGTATGCTGCTGGCCATGCTTTGCGCGCGCCATCCGCAGGTGGATGCAACGCAGCACAACGACCATAATAAGCCCTCCAAGCGTTGCAAAACCCGACCGACGACCACTCAGGAACATCAGCCTCAGGGATGACCACAACCCCCGCGGGGTGCTCCTCCAGAAATGCGCGCGACTTCTGGTGAATGCTGACCCCGATCTGGATCAGAGACACGGCGACTGCTGGGCGGCCTTTGCGGACAGCTGCTGCGCCTTGTCCTTCGGGGAGCCCGCTTGAATGAAGCATGCAGGATGCGCTCACGGTGCTGGCGCCAAACTTCGAGCAGGTGACCATCACCAAGTTTAACCGGGTGGTGGGGAGTAAACTTTTCTTCTTCCAGGCCACGGCACAATTTCAGGCCGACCGCGACACGGTGCCCACTACCGGCTCGTTTGACGGGGCTTTGGCAAACTTGGGCATTGGGCAGTGCACCGACAGGGGAAAATCCGTCAGAGAGCTCTCGGCCAAGAACCGGTTCCTCATGTTCGGCCTCACGAGGCGGTCAGTAAGGAGCCCGAGACCCAGCGAAACGAGATTGGCAAGGAAATCCCGGCGGCCAAGCGGCCGAAAGCAAAGGATACAGCGCGGAAAATCCCAGAGCAGCTGATCAAGGGTGAGCAGCCGAGGGACGGAGCCTGCGTGTTTCATACTGTGGCGGCCGGCATGGCATGGACCACGCATGGCACGACGCAGCACATCGAGATCACTGCTCGGGAGCTCCGAGCTCGTGTTGCGCAACACTTCCGAAAGCACGCAGAGTTCTATGCGCCTCAGCATGATGGGCTTGACCCCACGGCGGGAAATGCGACTGGCCTGCGTGCGTCGACAAGATGGAGAAGGAGGACTCGTACGCCTTGGCGCTATATAGGTCCGAGCCTTCAGCAGACTGTTCAATTCCAGAGTCATCATCATACCTGAGTACTCGGGAGTGCCATGCGAGTCATTCCACTCCCAAGCTGGCGAAAGGGTGGTCGCGGGATACCTTGAAGGAGATCCCGTTTCGCACATGACCCTCCTCCTTCCAAAGGGCGGCAACAACATGGACACGACACGTAAGGATCACCCGCTGCCAGCAGACATTTTGGCTATCAATGCCGCACCCACGATGACATATCGTCTTGGGGGCTGAGCGTCGTCTACTGGAGCCTGTACTGTCTTTACGCGTGCACCTTCCTGCAGGAGTGAGGCTGCTGCTTCGGGCACTGTTTGGACCCAACCGGCCAGTCGAACGGCTTCCCGGGCACCCAGCGTGGACTACCCCCTTCCAAGAAGTCTGGCGCACAAAGTGTTGGAAAGGCATTGATGGAGCTAAGGCCCCGTCATTCATGCACGGGCACAGCTTGGACCGGTGATCCTCCTCCTGACTCAACGTCCTGCTGCACGACCAGCCTTGTCGGCGAGCTCGAAACGTCGCAGAGTCAGCCGGCGATCCAGCATGAGGGCACAGTGGCTGGAGATGATTCCGATGTTAAGACCAAGATGAAGCGAGTCAGGGCCAGGCCTAGGGCGTGTGATGGGTCGCAAGCTGGGTTTGCATGTTGCAGGCTGTGTCCTTTCAAGTTCAAGACTGTCGTGACTGAGGATAGGCAAGTGAAGGATCAGTACATGTACAAAATGTGTGCATTATCGGCGACACCATCCTGGGGAGACTCATTCGGGAAGGTCCAAGCACACACGGGTGGTGCAGCCCTTGTCTGCAGACCAAGATGTTCATTGGCAATGCAAGTTCTGCGACCACGGCATTCCTCTAGAAGCTGCTACCTCGGCAGGCACGATGCGCATTCATCGCGATCGCAAGCAGCACAAGATTGATGCACACCCGAAGCTCACTTGGAAGGCCTGGAGTCGGTCGTGCAAGCCAGATAAATCAATGGCCGTGGCCAAGTCCAGGTTCAGTAGCATGGCGCAGTTAAAGATTGAGGTCGGCAAGCAGGGCGACTTCACTGCTTTTCGGTGGCCACAATCGACGACCAGGATCGAGCTCAAGGACAGGACCACCGCTGGGGTCCAGTTTCATCTGGCCTGGACGGCGTACCATCCTCAGCAGAGCCATCAGCAGACACACCCTGCAGCACATGGTCGCAGTGTTCCAGGTGGAACCATCCAACAATGCCCGGCACAAACTGTGCGGTCGTGCCCTGGGTCCTGATGAGAAACGCGGTGAGAGGCATGGTCCGTGGCCCCGGTGCTGCCTCATCAGTGCAGCCATCATCCCAGTGTCCAAAGCCAATCCTACCAGCAGCGGCAGGAGCTTGAACACTCTCAATGGCGCGCTTGCACGCAACATCGCTATCACGACTGGGCGGCCCTCCCACAGGCAACCTGTCGCGTGCCAAGCGAAGTTTGTGCTGCACAATTCGTCGAATCACGACACGGACCTCAGGAAGTTGGCCGGTGTGCCCTAAGCAGCTGGCCACCGGAGGGCCTACGTGCTGTCTCACTACATAGCCCTCTGCGAGGAAGGCTGTCACTTCATTCACTGCAAATCCCCGCACTCTAGCGAAGCCTGCTCGGCACAAAATGCGGCAAGTCCTGCGAACTCATCCGGCGGAAGCCTCCTGGGTCACCCCTGACCCGGAGGAGGTAATGAGCATGTAAGCCATCGGGAGGGCGAGGCTCCTGCATCACAGTCTTCTTCACATCACTTCTACAATGCGCAGTTGCACTTTCGCTGTTATTGTGCGGAGCCATCACGACACAGGCAAACGTTTGTTAGCCAGCCGCCCCCCTGGCTGTGGACGCTAGGGGTCACGAGGAGCCCCACTTTTGAGCCCGCAGCTTTGTGGACACATCCTGGTGATAATTCAGGCATCACAGCCTCTCTGACCCACAGCTATCCTTCTTCCCCACGGACGATAGTTGCGCGACGATTTTGCCTTTCTGCTGGATTGCAGAGGTTTCACACGAAGGTGGAAATTGTGACAGGCTAGCCGGCGTAGGCAATCAATTGCACGTTACAGAATGCCAGGAAGGAAATGCTGCCGCCCAAACAGTCCGGGACCGCTGCATGGCTTTCCGCCGCAACTGCTGCGTCGAGCAATGACGCGGTGACGGTTACCTCCACATGACAGATTGTCGGAGCTGCTCCTGCTGTCCCTTCGCTGGGGCTCCAGCACAGCTGCGTGCAAGACCTTGGCGACGCATCAGACATCATCAGACGCAAGTGCCGCCTTCGCCGAAAGCCCTTTTCGCTCCTGTCCTCGCACAGTTTCGCTTTTCTTTTTTCTTTTCTTTTGTCTTTGCTTGGCGGCTTCGCCATGCTTCGCCTTCTTCGCTTTGTTTGGCAGCAATGCCGCCAGGCCACGGCTCCGACCACTCGCCCCAAACGCCGAATCTGCAGTTTTTGGGGTAGCAGTCCTCCTCAGATCGCAAGTCTCTGAAGCGACGGTCTCTTCGATGTCTGTTTTCACATGGACACTTCTGGGTCACGGACATCGCAGCTGGGTGTGTCACACCTTGTTCGAAGAGCCGGAGCACCGGAGCACTGCAATGGGGAAAGGCCCGTCAGCCAAGTCTGGTCACTACTTGCAGCCACGGCTCTCCACTGTCTCCGTCTGCTCACCAGAGCAGACCATGCTCCGGCTTCCGGCCTGAACTCTCGTTGCTGAACGTGGAGCTGGCAGCTGCCACGGAATCCACATGCGAGTGCTGAGGCGACGAGCGAAAAGGTAGAGTCCACCAGCACTGCTGTTGTAGTCCTGGAGCTCGAACGGCTTGAGACCGAGGTTAACACTGGCGCTGCTCTACTCCACGAATATCTTCCACGCTATTCGCCGGAACTGACTTGCTATGGAAGCTGGATCAAAACCCAGCAGGCAACTGCATCATTGGTCGGCCTGATCACTGAGCGGTGCCTGGTCAGTGATTTCCAGCCTGGCAAATAGGCAGCCACTCCGTTAAAGACATGTCCGACTTGCACCAGTGAGTTTCATCCGAACGGGGACTGCACGCAAAGACAACACATCTTAAGCTGAGTGCAAAGGCATAGGTGCCGGACCGTCTCTGCAGGATTTTCACGGCAGTTCCACAGGTGGCCGTACAATCTGGCAAATGGCTGTTATACGTTGCCCAGCGTTTGGCCGTGCTGCATTCCGCGGTGCAAGCCTCCAAGGTCTGACCAATCCGCCCAGCGGCAGTAGTACTGCAAAGAAGAAGGCTCTCTGCTATTCTTACAGGCCTACCGTTGACAAATCTGTTTAGGGCTTCGGGTGACATGTCGTAGCTCAACGACAGGGCGTCTCTGAAAGTCCTCGGAGTCGCAGGTCCCGGTGCAGTTCATGGTCTCCTGCAGAACTTGAAGAGTCTTGTCAGAATTGGGACACGATAGCACACCTTAAGCGGAGGCAAGCACGACCGTCTCCAACCCTTGACAACTGTATCCTGAGGTTTAGGATCCCTGAGAGTACTGCGTTCCGACAGAGTTCGACGCTGCTATCCTCTAGAAGACTGCTTTTAGACACTTTCTGATGCGTGCTTCGAGTGACAAGTTCCCTGTAAGAAGGCATCTTATTGCATAACAAGTTTGTGCTAATTCGGCTGTTGTGTCCCTCCGCAGAGACGTCTCCTTGGCAACCCCCGGGTCGCACTTGTGGCCGCAGTCGTTCCTGCCATGGACCATGCTTCAGACGTCTTGCGCAGACCGCTCTCAACAGTCCGTGAAGACTCAGACTCCGCAAGATCGCGAAACTGACTCACATACACACACTGCTCAAGTGTGGTAGGCAAGCTGGAGGTGCTCGATGGTGCGCTGGCCTTGAGTGCTAACAGTGGGCCACTGAAAGATAGTTTGCACCGACTGACCTGTGAAGTTGCAGTGCGAGAACTCTGAGACTCGCACGGTACTTCTGCCCACCGCACTCTGAACAGTCGCCCCATTCAGACCATGCGCCTGTGATCACAAGCAGAGGAGATATGAGGAGATGTTGAGTTCAAGTCCCTTCTGCGAAACAGAGGCCCTGGCCCCACTGACAGTCGATGCAGTTGTTCTCCGGGCAGTGGTGTGTGTTGCAAGGCACCACCCTCAGCAGCGCGAGCAATCTGATCCACTGTTTCCTAGCATCACAATGCGCAGAAATTCCGCAGTGCAGCAAGAGTGTTTTAGCACCCACATTCTGGTAAAGGCCACCTCACTGAAGCGTACTGAGGCACTCCTTCTCAATGGTCGCAAACAGCCTGTTGGCTTTGTGTTGGTCAGCTGCCGGCCCCGAAACCCTCGTAGCCCCTGCCCACAGGCTTAGCGCCGTCTCCGGGCATCTTTTGCCGAGCGAAGCATTTACGAGCAGTTTCCCTTCAAGTTGGCGGGCAATGGCGAGCTAACACGATGGACGGACGTGCACACTGTCGGAGGCAGAGGCACCACAGCCAAGCCGCCACAAGCACCGGCAAGTTTGGAGCACTGGCTGGACTTGTCAAAGCAGCAGTTTCTCGAGGTACTGCCGTGCCAAGAACCTTCACGGCTTCCCAATGTCACACCAGGCCCGTCTAAAATCTAAACAAAGCAGCAGAGAGACCTCTGACCCAGACCGAACACTCCTGCAAACCGGATAAGACCCAAAAGCCGGAACCCCAAAGCGCAATGAAGCGCTGAAATACACACTTTACCCACCGTACCCGGCGCTGTGACCGCTGATGACAAACCGAATCTCATCATGCCTGTGCACTTGTAATCAGAGCAATCAAGGCCGCTGCTGAGCCAAAGCGCCTGAGCTCAGCATGTCTACTTGATCGGAATAGTTGTGTCGGTACCCTGCCCTGAAATTGAGGGTGGGAAGATACGACAGCTCTAAGGAAACCTCGCCTTTATGTCTTCAAGAGTTGCGGACATCTTCTTGAGATACATCAGGGGAGGGGTGGACAGTGTGGAAACAGGAATGCGCACGACAGGCTCCTCCCTACAGGTGGCTGGAGTGGCTGGGGCCTCTCGCTATGCTGAGGCGCGCAGGAGCTTATCTGTCTGGCTCTCAACTGAACCAGGAACTAGCATTAGCCCATGCGTACGACCTAAATCCATCTTCCACACACTCCCCAGAAACAGCTTTCCTGACAAAAATTTCGGTGGGTGTTGCTTATGCTGTGCTCAACCGCACAAGGTGACAAGGCTGCGCCTTCGCATGGAGCGCCATTGTGGTTCAGCGGCCGGAGAATTTGACGCATGCGGGTCCTATGCAGAACAGTGCTGATGAAATCAACGGCTGCACATCTGATCTCATAAGGCAAGCAAGCTCGCGATCCTCATGGTCTGATGGCCCGATCTTCTCATGTCATTCTCACACTGAAAACCAGAAGAACTCCGAAGATCTGATGCTTCCAAAAGCAAGCATTAGGCGTGCCGCGTCGGGCAAAGTCCTCTGACCAACACCACACGGCTTGGAGCAGACACCCCAATCCTCCCAGTGGCTGAGCCTCTAGCACGGGTGGGGGCTGCCTGTGTATAGAGGAGTTAGGCAACTAGCGAAACACTAACGGCACACTGTGCTATTCAGAAGTGTTCCTGCTTGGGCACGGTGCAGCCGCTTGGCTCGTAAACGCAATGTCAATTCATTGCTTAACGACCACAGGATGTCTTTCGGCCCACGCATTGTCGACGAGCCGTGTGAAACCCTCATAAAACAGCTGCGAAAGACACCAGAAGAATTGTTTTTCATATCCCCACCATGTCCGGCACTAAGCAACGAAATCGGAGCCACTTACGCTCATCACTTATCCCAGTGCCAAATGGAAGCAGCTCTGCACTGGATGCGAGGCTCAGGCGTGCAATTCTCGGGACCCTGACTGTGGCAGCCCGCAGGGTGGGCCTGGCAAAGTCATGAAACACGGAAACGCGACGGAACATGGCTCATGTCACGGCTATACTGAAGATGCTGGAGTAGGGCAAGCAAAAGCAGTTACTAGACGTACATCGTAGCTGCACGGTGCAATAGTAGTAATAGTAGTAGTCGCAGTAGTAGTAGTAGTAGTAGTAGTAGTAGTAGTAGTCGTAGTAGTACTAGTAGTGGTGGTAGCCGCCACGGCTCAGACGTTTTGGAAGTTTCGCGCTGGCTTTCGAACAGGCTCTGGATTCCAATCTTGCGTTGCTAGAGGTCTCAAACAGGCCTCTCCCCGAACGACTAAGGGTTGGTTCCTCACGCTGAGCCATGTGCCATGTGCCAACAGTTTGCGTCTGAGCCGCCAGGTCCCAATTCCTGGACCCAGTACCCTGTCTCAACACGGGCCCACTGGGCAGGCGGTAGGGTTTCCACTAGCCGCGTGGTGGAGGGAGTCACTCGGCTTGCCTTGTGACGAAACAGCGGATGGCGCTGCTCCCAGTGCACTCACAAAATTATTCTCAGATCAGGAAGAATTCTTTCAAGCATGTTTGCCGACAGGTGGCTGCAAGCCAGCAGCCTGTTTCTTACCGAGGTCAGGTTCTGACCCCAGCTCCTCTCAGGCGCATGGGCAACTGCCCACCGCAGCCAGGCTCCAAGCAGTCTTTTGCACCACGATCTCGGGCAGGACAGGCCACCAGGCCTCTCCGAGTACTGTCCTGGAATGCAGGCCATCATGGCCAGCAACAATGGTCGGAAGTCAAATCATGGCTCTCCACTGAGGCACGCCACACCTGTGATGTGTTCGTCCTGCAGGAGACCCACTGGCAGGCTACGGCCGAATTTAGTGTTGCAGGCTGGTACTGCATCTCGTCTGCTTCCGCTGCAGCTCCGAAGGCCTCTAGACGAAAGCAACGCGGGGGCAAGGCCCATACACAGTCACCTGCAGAGGCAATGCCTAATGACGATAAGACGACCCCACCCCGCAAGGAGCCCTCAACAACTCGCGCGGAGGGGTTATGGTTTTCCTGTCCCCACACATACTGCCCAAAAGTGTGCGCTGGCAGGAACATGTCATAGGCAGAGCCCTGGAGGTCAGGTTTGACTGGCACGGGGCCCGCATCAACCTGGTTGCTGTGTATCAACACGTCTGGTCACCGGCCAAACAGGTGCAGACCAATCGTCAGGACAGAGCACACGTCCTGAAGGCTCTTAGCAGATGTGTGCAACGCGTGCCGCACAGGGACACGCTTATCCTGGCAGGAGATTTCAATAGTTCCTTGCAAAAGCAGCCCAGGCTGGTAGGTCCCGAGATCATCAGCCCACAGGAACCGAGACCTGATGAGCCAGAGCTCACCAACTTTCTGCTCAATCATCGCTTGGTTGCTCTCAACACGTGGAGGCCTCAGCCGTCACACACGTTTCAGCAAGGGGACACACGCACTCAAATTGACTTTGTGCTTACGAGGCGCTGGTGGCAATGCCAAAGCCTCTACGCCGATGGCGGGATTCCCGCTGGGCAGCTGGAAAAAGGGCGGGCATCTGCCAATCAGCGCCACTGTCAAGCCAGTTCGGCACTGGAACTTGCCTGCCCCTCAGCTTCAGCAACACCAGTACGACTCTGCTGCCCTGCAAGCTGCTGGCAGGGACAACACGCTGCCAGCTCAGCAAATGCTCGAGTGGGTCAAAGCACGCCTCACCCCGGACATGCAGCCGGCGTCATGGGATCGCCTCCTTGGTGAAGCCACATCCAGGTTTTTCCCTAAGACCCCGGTGGCAATGCCAGAGTCGAGGGTGGGGCCTTGGGCCATTGATGCACCGGCACAGTGACCTGTGCCAGGACTGGATGGTGCTTAGCTCCATCTCGCCAGGCGGCTACCGGAAATTGGGTTAGCACCGCGGCTTGTTTGGCCTTGTGAGTGGCCTGGTCCTGTCGACAGATAATGTAGTCGATCTGCGAGGCCAGTTCCCCAAACGTGAAGGTGGCGAGCTGCCTGTGTGTCGGACGGCCCCATGAGTTAAGAACCGTAAGCGAATGTACAGACAGGATTGCCATGAAGTCGCTTGAGTCCTTGTTGTGGGCCCCCACAGATGGCATAACCCATTTGCCACATACCTTCGGCAGTGGGGTGCAGGTGGTGTTAGCATCGCCTCCCAGAATCAAGGTGTTCCGCGTGGGCAGGCCTTGTAGAGTGTGACGTAGTCGAAGAAGAAGTTTGTGTCGCCTTTCAGAAGTGAGTTTGTGATCGTTTGCAGAGTACTGGTACATATTGAGTATGTCAATGGGCTGCCTGCGATTGACTCGTACATGTAGAAGACGGCCCGGGTGAACAGCATGAAACTGAATGTCATGGCATTTCGGAACCACCTTGACTGAGATCATCACAGGGACGCCTCCGACCCGGTCTTCTTTTGCTTCTCCAGAAGAATGCACGAAGTGAAATTGACCTGTACTCCAGTTGCCATCGAAGGTCCATTTGGTCTCTTGTACAAGGCAGACATCTATCGCATTATCAGCAGCAAAAGTTTCCAATTCCCGAAAGACTTGTGCATGCAGCCCTCTTGCATTCCAGGTCATGGTTCGCAGCGTTTGTTGCCGATGCACGGGCCTGGAAATGCCGGGAAGCGCACGAGTTTGTATGGAAACAGGTTGAAACCATCGATGTTCTCGCCAGACGCCTCTGTAGTACGATCCTCCTTCTCGGCAAGCACGTGCATATGCTCGCCTGTAAGTTCGCTTAGCACAACTGGAAATGTCGTGACTATGAATGGGCGGTTGAGCCTCCCGATGACCCACGTGCTTTGCCAAAATGACTCCAGACGTCCTAGTGGGATCGACGTCAACCCTCACATCTGTACCCGTGGAAGAGCTAGGGGTGATTTGCAACCACAGCAACGCACAAAAGAGTGCAATGATGACTGGTGTCCTGTGTAGTCCTCCACGAGCACGGCCGGACTTGGGACCGACCCGGCTATAATTTGCAGTCGTAGTAGAATGGCCTGCCAGCACATATGCTGTTTTTGCCCTCTTTGCTGTTAGCGGAGCCTTGCGTGGGAGTGGTAGATGTCCGCTCATCGTCCCTGGCATGGTCATGTAAGAATAATTGAAGTGCTGTGCTCACACGTGACATCAACAATGAGATTCTGCATAAGGTTCCCGCAGGCATTGTCAGAAACGAAGAGGTACTGTACCTGGCCGTGCAGCAGCTGGATGTGTAGGGTAGAAGCTGAAGTAGCAGAACTTGTGTACAGAACGCGAGCAATAGCCACAAAGCGAGGTGCTCCTTTTTGGGGTGCCGCCGTTCATCAAGTGGTAGCCAACTGTGCAATCTAGGGACGGCCGATGCGCAGCGCGAGCACAACGAGCAAGCTTCCTGAACCCGAATTAGCTGAGTAGTGTTTTCACACCTGC